CCCCAAAACCCCAAAACCCCAAAACCCCAATTGTATGTTAAATTATAAAATTCATTGTTAAAATTGAATTATAAATTACTTAATGGCTGAAAATAATTTGCAAGAGAAATCCTCAACACCTGAGAATAAAGTAGAGCAAAAGCAGTAATAATACTCTTATTTATGGAAAACATACGACTTTACAGGGAAAACCTTTAAGTAAGTCCTTGAAAGTCATCCTTATGTTACTGAACCAGTGAAAAGCACAAGTAAGATATTGTTATAAGTTTAATTAACCCATTCTAGATCATTAATTCTTTTTATTTCACTTGGCTGATTCCTTTTTCTTTTTGAATGAATTGGTAAAGACACAGGCTACTACCTAAAAAGAAAGTGAAATCTATGCAAGGATAATTGAAGTAAAATATATAAGATTAAATACTTAAAGGAAAACAAACAAAGTGATAGGAGATATGGTAGAACTGCTGTAGGTTCAGTAACCCTACCTTTCCTGTATATCTGTGGAACATACAGGGGCTATTTCTGGAAATTAGCACTATTTTATGTAATATACAGGTAGGCAGATGCTCTTTACGATGCTGGTATTTATACTAGGTTCTTCTTCAATGCTCCAAGATAATTCAGATACATTCTAAGCCTAAACGAGACTGAAAATTTTGGAGCTCTATAGACAAGACTTTTTGTGAAATATTGTGCTGAGCAAGAAATGAAGAAGGCAACAGGCGAAGTTAGGAGGAAAACCTTTATGGAATTAATCATAGTCAGATCCTTTAGAAATCAGCTAAGAGATACATATACCCAATGGAAGAATTTCTATACTTATTTGAAATACAGGAATAGGAAAAATGAGTGAGTTGTTATTAAAATATGGAAATCAAAGTTGAACTGACTATCTTTGTTTGGAATATTATTTAATGTTTAATTTTACAATAGTAAACAATCTTATAATTATTTTAATCAGCATATGAATTACATCATTCAAAAAATCATCTGACTATTGATGAGGATACTGAAGAAAAATATTTCCTAGTAGAATCTTTAGTTAAATATTGAGCTTATCTCCAGGATTCAAGTTAGAAGTCTTCCATTGGCAATATACTGATGGGTGCTTGATTCTTTTTCTAATGAGATCTAACGCTTGTAGAGCCACCTTCAGAAAAAAGATTTCTCTTTTCTTCTTTGAAAGTATCCATATACTTTTATGACTCCAAATTGATATTGCTGCCGTTGCCATTTATAATTTGCTAAAGCTTGTTTTGAAGTTTTTTCAAATTGTTTTCATTTCTCAAGTCTTTTTCCTAAAGCTTAATTTTAGTAATATTAATTGGATTAACTACGAATGGTTATTATAATTAATGAAGTTCCTTTTGCTTATCAAAAAATGAATTTTCATTTCTTAATGAGGAAGGAAGACTTTTTTCCTTATCCTATTAATTCTATATTGAGATAAAGCCCGAATGAGGAGTCGCCTAATTACGAGTTTTATTAATTAATTTTTTAACTTTTAGGTTTTTATCTTACTTGACATCACTTTTCTAGCTAGAGTCATTTTGAAGTTCAGCAGGTTTAAGGTTATTTATTTTAAATGGTGAGACATTTTTAGAATGAAGTATGGTGTTATCTGCATGTACTCCTTGCCTTGAAGAATAGATTGGAGGTAAACTTCCATCAACATGAGGAGAATTAAAGGCGTCGCTTCTCATCATAACATCTTCAGGAGATTAGTTTATGATTGTCAATCTACTATTATTCAATGATCTTTTATTGCTCTTTTACGCTTAATTCTGCTGTTTTAACTTAGCTGACTAATTAGACTCATTTTTAATTATTGTAGTATTCACCTGAGGTAGTTTACCAGGTTAAGATGCATCTGAGAATAGCTAATCTTGTGAAGTGGTACTTTAATTATTTTCATATAAAGACACTGTTGACTTTTTCCTTCTCTCAAATATATTCAAATTTCTTTTAGCATTGATATGTGATATCTAAGAGCTGTTGTTTGAGATATCATTTTAGCCCTAGTTATTTGCATAAGAATTTGGAGTTTTCAAAGTCATCTCAAATAGATGCTACTTTATTGGATAATACTAGGGATACTAGTCTTGGAGACTTAATTTCTAAATGATCTCGATCTTCTTTTTGTCAATGTCTGTACCTGGAATGTTATTACTGTATAAATTATTGAAGTCCTCCATACTATCCATTTTCTTGAGTTCTATAGTCTTTAGATCAATCATTTCTATTTTTTACTCTTTCTATTCATAACCTTGACTCATTAGTGCTTTGATATCATAATCAAAAGAGGAATTAATAGAACTGTAATTTGATAGAAAAATATCCCTTGACCCTTTGAGAGCTACTTTTTCCTTATGATAAGTTGAATTATTTATTCTATTGAAGAAACTGTAATGTTTTCTTTCATCAACCAATGGTTCATTATGAAAGTACTTCTCTTGGGACAGCTTACTTTTGTATTATTATATCTCTTTACTCTTACTAAATATATCCTACTTTCGAAATAAGGGGTTGTATATTTTTAGGTTTTTATTTTTCTCGATTAACTCTTGAATCTTTTTCTATTTTTACTCTTGCTGTTTTTTCTTTTAAGATAACATTTTTGATAGATCTATAAGGTTAGCTGAGTTACTTTTTAAATGACTGCTGTCCATTTTGTCTCCCTCAACAGCTAAATTTATACCTGATTCAGCTCTGAGTCCGATCTTTTTCATTATGTCTTCATACTTAAGCTTATCTTTTTCTATGATGTTAAGTGTCTTGGAGTCTACTTGCATCTAATCCATGCTGAATGAAGATTTTATGCTTTCAAGAGTCAATAGTTTAATCGTTTAACTTCCATCATTAGAAGCCATAAAATGAGTAGTGCTTTGATAAATTTTTCTTAGGATGTATTCAGCATCTGAAAAATCAAGGTATAATAGGTTGTCCCCCATCATAGAGATGATGTCAAAACAAAATCGATCGAAGAATACGCTATTCTTTAAGTATTCAGGTTTCTTTGCTGTGTAATAATCAGTTTCAAAGAGGACGCCATAAGCCTTTCTAAAAATCAAGATTGTTTATTCATATAAGTTTAAATCAACAGGCATTAATGAGTATTCCATAACCTGTTTTTAAAAATCTTTATTATTCTAACTCTATTCCTATTAAATGTCTCCATTGGACTACTTTACAACTACTTTATTTAAATCATACTAAAGTTGAACAATGAGCTTCCATAACTTTATTATGATGTTTTGAATTTAAGGCTAAGCTGTAAAATCTGTAACCTTAAACCTGAGCAATTTATTCTCCTTAGAGAGTATTTGATTTTACTTTAATCTAATCTCCATCATATTTTACACGAGAGAATTGGATGACACATTAGGTGAGTTTTGCTTGTTCATCAGCAATCAAGGTGACATTTTTCTAGAATGAAATGAATTATTCCTAAGTCTAGCTCCGAGATATTAGGCAATAATAGGCTACTGTAGCTCATGACTACTCTTCCATTAAGATAAATTATCGTCTTACATTTAATTAATTCAATCGTTCTTATTATAACTCTAAATAATCATGTTCGGGGTTTTGGGGTTTTGGGGTTTTGGGGTTTTGGGG